ATATATTATTTTTTCATACATAATTATTCAATTACAATTTTCATATAGTATTTAATCAATTATTATTTTTAATTTACTTATTGTTTAATATTATTATTATTATTAATGTAAATATTATTTTATATAATGAGTTAACATTATATTATTATATAATTCTGATTTAAAAATATATTCGCTATAAACAATTTTCATGACCGAATTATGTCTTTTTTTTTAGAAAAATCGTTCTGTAGCTTTATAAAAGCTCAAATTTATAAGCGTCTCTCCAACCCACAACATGGCACCGAATCATGTGATCTGGGACCCACTACATTAAAGATGCTGACGTTCAGTGTCCATATTGTTTGTATTTATACTGTGCTTATGGACTTAAGCTAAAAACACAATAAAAAGCACAGGCAATAGGAACAGGGAATCAAAGATTTCAACTTATCAGAAACCATGAATAATAGAATGGATATTTTCTGATAGATTGAAATCTTTTGCTTTCATTGTGTTTCCAGCTTTATTCTTTCAATTACTAATCTATACAAATTAAAATGGTGTTGCCTAGAGGTTTTTGTTAGTATCAACATTTTAGTTTTTCAGGAATGTCATGTAACCCAATCGACCAATCACAATCAAGAAACTGTTATTTTTGTATGTGAAAATTATTATTATGTATTCAAGAATAGGCGTCTTGGAATTTTATTTGTGCATTTTTGGCTGTGGTGAAAATCTCACTACAAATGCTTTGAAACATTTGATGGATCAATTAGAAGAAAGAATTTTACAAATCGAATTAAAAAACGCTTCAAAACGTTTGCAGCATCGCGTTGATCGTACTCTTTGTCGTACGACAAATGTGTGCAGAGAGGTCCTCGGATTTCTCTATCTCATAGCCAATCAACAATTTGTCATACGACAAAAACACACAAATAAAATATCACCTTTTTGCAATGCTCCTAATGGAAATAAATCGTTGAAATCATTAAAATCTCTATTAATTTGAAAGATTTTAGTTATTTTAGCGATTTCAACTATTTGTACTTTGGCCGTATTTAGAACGCGTTTTTATTTCTAAAATTCTATAATAATGTAAATTATAATATATTAGCGCACTAACATTGTTGTAAGCTCGTTTTGAATACGGGCCTCTAGAGACATTAGCGATTGCCATAGTGGAAATAAACAGGTGAGACAATTTGAGGGATGCGCAGTACAAATGCGCAGGACAAATTTAGCACAAAATTTGATTGGCTAGCTGATTTCTCTGAATTGCCGTTATGGGCATTGTCTCATCTGTTTTCTTTCACTATGGCAATTGCTAGTGTTCGCGCATACACAGCATGGAGTTCCGATTCTCCTGATGAGAGGGACGGAGTACGGAGCGCCGACATCAAGGCACTGTCGAGGCACGCACAAAAGCGCACCATCAATTCACTGTTAGTGAATTTTCGAACTTCGCACTTTGATCCGTATTCTACACTTGGCACATGCACAGTTCTCTTCCACACGCACGCTTCCTCTTGCCTGGGATGCTGAATTAAGGTAAGATCCGACTTTTTGTCCACTCTGTACAATCTGCAAAAAAAAATCTTTCGGGTTTTCAGAGGTATATACATTGTTTTCGTTGCGGCGTATCTATAATAAAAATGCCTCAATCTCTTTTAAACGTTACGGCACGCTTATTCTGCTCATTTGGTAAGTTGAGTTACATTCCAAAACGTCCCTTTCTGAGGAATATTTTACTCTATATATTATATGTGTATTATATATTTCGAATAAAATTTTCTTCAAGGAGAACGTTTTGGAGTGTATTCCTAGACAAATGAGATCATAGAGTACATCAATATGTACAAATCCCAATATGACAAAACTTTCAAACATAGAACTTTGTGTTTTACGTAAATTATTTTATGTTCTGTATTATATGATAAAGCACATGTCAAATTTTATTACTTTTATTATTTTTATCACTATCAAATTATGTATATACAAATATTCGTTATTTATTAGTTTTCTAGATGACAGTCGTTTTTTCACAGTGCCAAGTCTGTGTTAATTTCAGGTATAATGTAGGTATAATTCTGATATTTGAGATTGTTTGGAAGAAATTTGTAAAACATTGCATAATATTATTATAATGATGATATGTAAGAAGATCAGAGGAATCAATTTCAAAGATGTATAGTCATTCAAAGTGACAACATTTGTGACAACTTTTGTGAACAATTTATTCTAAATTTTATAAGCCAGCAAAGCCGGTATTAGAAATATGACATTAATCAAAATTTGCTCCAAATTATATTCAGCTGTCACAGTATAACCAGTAGGGACATTTGCAAAAAAATATGGATCTGCGCAGATATGGCTGCATAACTTTTGTTTTGAGCTGGATCCAATGAAATGCAAGACAACAGTGCAGACAATATACATGGTTGTGTTCTGTTGGTTCTGTTTTATGATGCATCATTACATGCACCCCATATGTATGTATTGTATACAGAGAAGAAAAAAGTTTATGGGAGCTGTTTTAAATATAAAAAAAAGGATAAAATAACGAAAAATTATACAGTATTAACCAATATCGTAATAAGTGTGTGTGTGTGTGTGTGTGTGTGTGTGTGTGTGTGTGTGTGTGTGTGTGTGTGTGTGTG